GTTGTAGGTTATAATGCCCACTGAGCCAATGAGGCCAAACTCAAGGAAGACCAACCAAAATTTATGAAATATTCAGTTGCAGAAAATTCGATAATTTGTCTTTTTTGGGGGGTTGGCATATGTTCAAAAGCTAGATTTCTGCATTCTGTCACACACACACATAGCTACATAAATGGCTCTAAGTGCATTCATGTGTTGAATAAAAAAAGATTACATGTTAATGTTTTGTCAGTTTCCTTATTTCATTGTGTTACATTTCACCCCAGGATATGTTACAACTAACCCAGACTATGGGGTTAATTGTAACATTTCACTCTTTGTGTTTGAGACCATACCATGCAATGGGTAATTGTGCTGCAGAGAAAATAGCTGCACTATTTAATAGCAGAGACATGTAAATACTTTGCATTACATTTTGAATCCACTACCTTAAAAGAGCTCTAATTTACAGACAGAAATGTGAAAAATGTTACAACTATCCCGGGTCTCCCCTACGCCTCTTTTTACAGTCTACATTATACAAATAAACACAAGAGATTGTCAGGACACAGATAAGCAAAGATAACTGTTTATATACAAAATAATTTACATATCAAACATTTCTTTAGGTCCAGTCGAAATTGGACAGTGGAACTTTTTTTTTTAAATGCCTTAAAGACAGTTTTTTAGAGTAAACAGAAAAAAAACTGAACAATGTCGGAGCCCTGGTGATGGAGCGCAGTTTATTTAATTACGTTAGTACATTTATAGTGAACTCAAACGTTAAATATTTTATTTAGATTTTGTTGTTTTTCTACTTCTGCTTTCTTTATGTACAGTACTGTGCAAAAGTCTTGAGTCATCCCTCATTTCCACCCAGACAAGGTGTGATGGTCCGGGCAGTCTGTGGGGGGTAGGGGTTGTTTTGCGCTCTCTCAGGTGGAGTGCTGGGTCGGCTGTTCTTGTTGGGTCTTGTTTTTCCTGGTCACCAGGAGCACTCATCCATGATTCTCACTTCTGCATTACTGAGTAGTACTTAAAGACTGGCCTGTGCCTCCATTTTCTGTCAGATTGTTGTATCCTCAATGGTCTTACTTGGCTCCTTCATGCTTTGTGGCCTGTTTAAACCCTGTTTCCTCTCTTGTCTGTTTCCAGTGTCTCCTCTGGTGAAAGGATGGCTGACGTTTCCACACTGCCGGTCCTGCTTTGTTGTAGACTTCCCTGAGTTCAAGTGCACCGCCACTCAAACCCGTTACTACAACCTGGCTTCCTGCTACCAAAGGAGTACTCTCCATGGGTTTCTCCCAGTTTCCTCTGGCTAGCCACTGATCCCTCTGCAGTCTGTCGATAAGCGAGCAGGCTTTCAACTCCATTTCCTTCAGAACTTAAAATTAATTATAGAACAATCACCTTTGGCAGAATCTAAATCTCTTCCTCTCGAATAGAGCTCCCCTGCCATGCTCCTGTAGTCAGAAACTCTTACCTGCTGCCATTTTTTCTGTTACCTCCCAAGTGTAAACACATCTTTTAAAACTGCAGGGTGTTTCTGGGTCCAGCTGTTTCAGTCCACTCATTTGGTAATTACGACACATGCAGCCAGACCTTTTCACTCATTTTCAACCCAGTCCTTATACCTGACCATTTTCAGAGAAATGTTTTTGTTTGTAAAGCCAGTTGTCACTGCTCTATGAATGATTCAAGCATACAAAGGCACCCGAGTGGATACTTTCACAAACAACAACGAACCAGTTTTAATGTTATATTTGGGCACTTTGTTCCTTTTTGACAGGTATAATAGAATAACTGCACTAACAAGCTGCTCCCAAAGAGCTATTAGCTGCAAAATAGCTTTTTCTTAAAAAATAAAATAAAAAATAAAATAAAATTAGTCCCACTGTCGCCAAGTGCTTACACTTGGGTCATCTTATTGCTGGGATTTTCTCTGCATTATTGTAGGGCCTCTACCATACAGTATTAAGGTCACTGTTGTTGTGATTTGGTGCTATATGAATAAAGTTGAATTGAAAATGGAATAATTTATTCTTTCAGTATGAGCCGAATGTACGGTATATGGTAAAACGTTCAGTAAAGCAGACACTTAAAAGTTGAACCATTAGTAAGTACACGCACTAAACTCTCGCTGCTGATTGGCTGTGGGCCCTTAATTGATTATTTTTCCATTTCCTTTTCCCCGGTGGATGCCGAGAATCGACTCCACCCCAGCCCTGCCCCCATCATCTGTTT